ATAGAGCGTCGGCCTGCGGACTGAAGGGTCCCGGGGTCGATTCCGGTCAAGGGCATGTACCTGGGTTGCGGGCACATCCCCAGTGGGGAGTGTGCAGGAGGCAGCTGGTCGATGTTTCTCTCTCATCGATGTTTCTGACTCTCTATCTCTCTCCTTTCCTCTCTGTAAAAATCAATAAAATATATTTAAAAAAAACACACAAAAAAAAACTAAAGTTTATTGAGAGATGGCATATACAGAGCTGTACACATTGTAAGTGTAAGGCTCAATACATTTTCATTAAGAGATCACGCCATGTAACCACCAGATCAGAACTGAGAACGTCACAGCCCCCAAGACCCTTCCACTCCCTCCTAGTCAAAGGGAACCACTGTTCTGGCTTCTCAAGGCATTGATCAGCTTTGCCCAAACAGTCCTGTTTATAACACAGCCTCTGTCTCTCTCGGGACCTTGGAGAGCACTTGCAGATCCTTCAAGACTTCTTCTCTGAGAAGACTTCCCAGGCCTTGCCTTATCCTGGTAACCCCGCTGTTGCCATTCTGAGGTTGCAATGCCTCTTACTGCTGTCGCCCCCTCGAGCTGTAAATAGGCTGCCCTATTTACCCAACACAGGGTAGAGTGGGTTGAAGTGTGACCCCCCTAAAGATCTAAGTCCCAAGGCCCTGTTCCTGTGAACGTGACCTTCGTTGGAAGTAGGGTCTTTGCAAATGTCATTAAGGATCCCAAGATGAGACCGTCCTGGATATAGGGCAGCTCTAAATCCACAGCAGATAAAGGCGAGGGAGGTTTGAGACACAGACACAGGGCAGAGGCCATGGAAGATGGGGCAGACGTTGAAGTGATGCAGTTCCAAGCCAGGGACACCAAGGCTGGCCCGCAGCCACCAGCCGCTGCGAGAGAGGCCTCGCCTGGGGCCTCCAGAGGAAGCAACCCTGCCGACACTATGAGTTCAGACCTCGGCCTTCAGACCATGCGAGAATAAACTTCTGTTGGCTTAAGCCAGCCGGTCTGCAGTGCTCTGTCACCCAGCCCTGGACACTAATCCACAGCGGGCGGTGTGGAATAGGGCTCCGTGTTTGTTGAATAAATAAAAGAACTGAGTAGGGGAGCTTGCTGGCCTGTGGTGGGAACAAGAGTGGTACTGGGATGACTTATTTTTCTGTGCTGCTTCCTCACGGAGCTCTGTGACACCCACAGACCCCCACGGATTGCCCACATGACATCATTTATCCTCCCTCCTGTGTTGTCACACACCCACAGGGACCCTCACATGACTTGGAGGAAGCTGACTCTATCCCCAGCATCCAGCCAGATGCAGATCCCATTTCTCTGAGAGTAACTGAGGCAGAATGGGCTTGTGACCTGACTCTGGCCAGTGACACCAGAGGGGAAGTGTGCCCGGGCTGTGGAGGAAAGGTCTCCTCTTTCTGGCTTTTCCCCTGGCAGGTCTGGTTGCCAGGAGTGGCGGCCATGGGCAGAATCGTGGTCCCACGGACGTACTTCACATTCTGATTGCTTCGTGCCTGCCCCTGCGCCCTCCTGGGCTTCCGGCAACATGAGGCTACAGGGGGCTTTTCTGTGGAAGCTGAACACATCCTAACTGATCGTCCAGCCGCCACAGGCAGGAGCTTTGCCTTCAGCCATGCAGCGTGGGAAACTGAAGCTCAGAGAAACGAAATCACTTCGCTGTGGACACAAGATGGGTAAGTGACGGAACCAGAGCTCACACCCAGGCCCGTGTCCCTGTCCTGCATCCTCAGTCCCGCTTGCACACAGCTGCCCTTGGTTGTACACTGGCTCTTGATTTCACATGGGGCTTGGGGCCTGGGGAAGGGCCCTTAGCACAGCAGGGACAGCGGATTGTGCCTCCATCACAATGCGGCGACGGCCACGTCAGCTCTGGGGTCCCGTTTAACTGGGAATAGCGCCCCGGGCTTGGGCATGCATTAGCTGGCTCGCTCCTCCACAGCTACCCTACTTGCCGGGGAGGAAACGGAGCCTCACAGAGGGTGAATGTTCTGTGCAGAGCCACGCAGTGAGGGGCACAACTGGGATTCAAACCAGGTCAGTCTGATGCTAGCGCCCCTTTGTGTGTCTCCCCTGCCCCCACCAACTACACATATGTTCATGGGGGGGGAGCGGGGGGGACTTTCCTTACTGCTACGTCCCCG